CAGCGCTGAGGGAGCGCCGCACTGTCGGAGGGTCAGTGCTGAGGGAGTGCCGCACTGTCGGAGGGTCAGTGCTGAGGGAGCGCCACACTGTCGGAGGGTCAGTGCTGTAGGTGCGCTGCACTGTCGGAGGGTCAGTTCTGAGGCAGTACCGCACTGTCAGAGGGCTCTGATGCCTCTTCAGCGGAGTCTGTTCCAGGTCCTACCTGCTTGCCGTACCTTGTGGGAACATCGCTGTGCAAGGTGTGTTTCAGCGACGCATGTAGAGTCGAAGATGCTGCCTGGAGAAGGAGATGCAGAACCTCCTTATATTTGGTCAAAAACAAAAATGGCTGGAGAAACGCAGCAGGTCTGGCAGCATCTTGTGCAGGGTAACAGGATTCAAAACATTAACTCTGCTTTCTCTCCACAGATGCTGCCAGACCTACTGCGTTTCTTCAGCAGTTTCTGCTGTTGTTTCTGATTTCCAGCATCCACATTCCTTGATTTTTATCCTTGTTCTTATTGTCTGTTTCTTGGTTGATGAAATGAAATGTTTCGAACATTGCCTGTTTCAAATGAGGCTGTGAATATTGTAACATGATTTTCTTTTCATAAGTTCACAAATAATCTACCGAATCAGACAATTATTTTCTAAATATCTAGAAATCACATCATTTGTCTTAAATTTTCCCTCGTTACTGACATCAGGCTAACAGGGCTGTCGGTCCCTGATTACTCTCTCCCCACTTTCTTTAAGCGGTGAGATTGCGAAGGTGGGTTTTGGTGGCCTTATCTAAGGAAGGAGATCCTTGCAAGAGGGAGTGCTGTGGAGCTACTGTCCTGGTAAGAAAGGAGGTGGAGACTGGGCATTTATTCTCTCGAGTTTGGAAGAATGAGACATGATCCTTTAACAACTTCGAAAATTCTCAAAGGGCTAAACAAATGGATACAGAAAGGATGTTGTGCCTGGTAGAGGGGTTTCTAGAACCTGGAAGAAGCAGTGGTATAGCAATAATGTCACTGGCCTAGTAGTTCTGAAACTCTCAATGGCCAGTGGTGAAATTTGAATTCAGTAAAAATCTAGAATGAAAAACTAGCCTCATGCAACCATGTAACCTCTGTCGATGGTTGTATAAAGCCTTCTGGTTCACTCATGTCCATTTAGGGAGGAAATCTACCATTGTCACCTGGACTGGGCAATTAGGAACAGGAACGAAATGCTGAAGAAAACAACGGGGCACATCCTCAGGATAAGGGGCACACCATTGAGGGCTAAGAGCAGGAAAAATTTCACTCCGAGATTGGTGAAACTGCAGAATTCTTGATCGCAGAGACTATAAAGGCTCAGTAAATTCAAAACAGGGATTGATAGATTCCAAGGGATATGGGGATGGTGCAGGAAAATTAATATTGAAATTGAAGATCAGCTGTGATCTAGTCAAAACAGCAGAACACGCTCAGGGTACTGAAAAGCTCATTCCTCCTCCTGTTCCCTGTACAAATCTCACTTTAGTTTCTTTCCTGTACCTCCTCTAAAAAAAACCCTTTTTTAGAACATTGGCGTTCCACTGATCAAGAACACACTTTACACTTGTCTCTGATAAATTTCATCAAAGTCACGTGTCTGTTTTTATCTTTGCTGTTTGCTTGTTGCCAATGTTGTAAGTCATATCAAATCCTGCTCCCTCATCCCCACTCTGCTCACTGCCTGATACTTATTCCTGGTCAGGCAATTCCCTGATTTTAAAATCCTCACCTTTATCTAATTATGTCCTGTGAAATTCCTTGGCATGTTGCATGTGGAAGGTGCCTTATGAAGAGATAGCAAGAACTGCAGATGCTGGAGTCAGAGATAACACAGTGTGGAGCTGGAGGAACACAGCAGGCCAGGCAGCACCAGAGGAACAGGAAAGCTGACGTTTTGGGTCGGCACCCTTCTTCATTTCTGAGGAAGGGTCCTGATCCGAAATGTCAACTTTCCTGCTCCTCTGATGCTGCCTGGCGTGCTGTGTTCCTCCAGCTCCACACTGTGCTATCAGGTGCCTTATGAATGTAGGTTGTTTCTGTAAAAGGTAAAATTTGTCAATAAGTCTCTCCTCCCCTGCAATTTATCATCGGCAGGAATTTTTTTAAAAGTTGGGATCGTTTGTGTTCTTGGACAGGTACCCAGAGAAATTGAGAGAACATGTGACAAGCTGCCAGAAACTCGCAGAATACCTTGACAGCCTGGAGACAACCCTCAAAGCTTCTGCAGGCCAGATCCCAACTTCCTATAAAGCAGCCATTGAGCAAGGGGAAAAGCAGATGGTAATCAGCATGCTGCATAGTGTCACACATCAGCCAAGGGTATGGGTGGAGGTGTAGGATGAGTGTGGATTTGTATCTGTGTTTGTAACTATGTCTGTGCCTGTATCTCTATCTCTTCCTGTATCTGTACCTCTCTCTTTGCATTGCTACTTCTCTCCATGTCTATACTTCCCTGCACCTGCATCTGTATGTCTTTGTGTCTTGTCTGTGTGTGTCCTGTGTCTGTCTCTTCCTGTGACTGTATCTGTCTCTCTGTGTCTGTGATGGTGTCTGTACCTCTGTGTGTGTGCGCATGAGTGTGTGTATGTTTGAGTGTGTGTGTATCACTGCAGTAAAAATACCAAAAGCCTGAAGAAAGCTAGTTTTTTTCTCTCACTGGCTGCTTAAACACACAGACAGACACACATATACACACGCCTTTGATCAGTAACCAAAAAGAGCCTGTAGTTAGTGTCCCAATTGCATTGTGCCCCTTGCGAAGAAGTAAATGATCCTGGATGAGGTTGATTGAAGAACAGAAAGTCCTGGCAAGCTAAAGGATCTGTGAATGCTGTGGACTGGTGCTATTGAATTGCAGCTTCCAATTTTTTCCCCTACTCTCATACAGCCAAAGTTGTTTTGTTTGCTCTGTGTGTGTGTGTGTGTGTGTGAATGTGTGTGTGTGT